GGACACAGAGAGAATTTACCCTATAACTCCCTGCAATATCAGGGCTCGACGCTAACTTTTCAACTTACTAGCAAGGTGGCTGGTGACTTCTTAGATACTATGACAATGTTTGCTTGTTCACTAGCCAAACTGGCTGGTGGAAACTGAAAACCACTAGCCAAAACTGAATTTCTACTACTCTGTGGCTAGTGAGCTACCATTAGTGTCGAGTCCTGAATATCCTTACATCATCTAGCAAACAGGTGGTAAGATTACTCAAACTTATCAAGTAGAAGTTGTTGTATCAATCTAAAACCAAATTTGTGTAACTAAATTACAAGGAAATGTGCAGCAGCGAGAGGAAAGATTTGACCATGATTAGATATTAGATATTAAGAGTGAGAGGGTTCGGTGTTTTAACGAAGAACATAACCTTATGAACCAGTCAGATTTGAACTGTTTAACCTTAAGAGTGACCAGCATCTAATTTCTCCTTACAAGATTGCCCCTCAATCAAACATTAAAGTCATAAGAATAAAGCAAATGATCACCAACTAAAGCAGCTCTTGATTAGTAAACAAATTCTCTTTGCCAGTAACTTTAGGAAATGTGCAGTGGATAGTATGGAGAATATGCATACTGATGTTACGGGGTAAAGAGTTAAACTGGGACATCTCCACCAGGATTTCAACACACTAACTGATAAACCACCATGCCTTCCACATCTAGGAGTGACTGGAATCTAAATTTTCCTTACAATAACACTCCTGAATCACACTTAAAGGTCACGAGAATAAAGAAAATGATCAACACCTAAAGCTCCACCTGATTGTTAAACAAATTCTCCTTGTTAGCACCTTAGGAAATGTATAGAGAACAGTATGGAGAATATACATACTTATGTTATGGTATAAAGGGTTAATTAAAATACCTTAATTGTGGGTCATCTTTGAAGCTAACTGCCCATTCCTTAATTAGCCTCTTCAATTTTTCAGTTACTTTGGGATGTCCCTGTACAGGTATAATGACAGTAAAATACGACAAAAGGTGACAAATCAAACGCTAACCACTTTTAGGGAAGCAGGGATGGCGTAGTGGTGAGAGCACTTGCCTCCCACCAATGTAGCCTGGGTTCGATTCTCGGACCCGACGCCATAAGTAGGTTGAGTTTGTGTTGGTTCTCTTCTCTGCTTCGAGGGTTTTTCTCCGGGTTCTCCGGTTTTCTCCCTCACCAAAAACCAACATACAGCTGATTCCACCTGGCTGCAAGCTGTGCTCCAAGGTCACACATGGACCATATAGCGGCTGCCAGAGGCGCAATTGTAAGCTTTCGGTTCGACCTTGTTGAGCTGCGTCGTTGCTGTACTTTGCAACGGCGATTAGCAATGACAATTATTATTATTATTATTATTATTATTATTATTGTGACAATTAGTGACAATTATTATTATCATTATTATTGACAATTATTATTGTTACAATTACTTTTAACAGCTGTAAATGACTGTAATTTAAATTCTCCCCATACTGCCTGTCAGATAAGAATTAATTGTCATATATGGCAAAAAATATATATATTTTTAAATACATGTATTAATTATTAACAACTTGAGGTTTATAGCAAGCCTTATCATCATGTGGCAAAATGTTATGGTCATTAAAAGACATGCAATTCGTGTACTTTCATTAAAAATGTGCCTTAAAAGAAGACAAAAAAGAACAGATTGTATAATCATTGCAGTTTAGAATCTGTTTTTGCATTTGGACAGTACTGCTTTACCTGCTTAGGTTTCACAACTTACCCTGGAAATTATATTTTTTGCTTCACTGACGAAATCTCTTGAACAAATCTCCAAATGGAATACTTTATCGCAGTTATTTACACAAGCTGACAAAAGCTACAATGTAAGGTAAAAAAATAATTAATGAGATGAAAACACAATGACACAAGCATAAAAAAGAGAAAAACTCAAAAAGAGAAAAATAGAGTAAGTAAACAAAAACAGTGTGGCTCACTGAGTGAGTAGCAAGCTGAAAGAGGAAAAAAAACAACGATACCAGCTGTAATAATTCTGACAAGACTTCTTATTGACTTAGTTTTTAGGCTGATAAGAATGGGTAAATATTTGGTTCTCCAACATGACATGCCTTGACCATTCTCTTAAGCAAAATATCTACCTCTGCATAAACCAGTAAGAATATATAATTATTAAGAAAGCCAGGAAAAGATTTGCTGTTATCTGAAAAAACTATATCATGGTTTGTCCCCATTAAAAATTGATTATCAATTAATCTTCTCCATCATTGGTTATCATTTATTGTCTTTTGATTTTATCAACTACCGGTAAGTTGAAATTGTGAAATTGGCCACCATAAAGAGTTTAAAAAGCTGATGTTTCGAGAGCAGACGGAGGGCTAATGCTGGAAACATCAGCTTTTAAACTCTTTACAGTGACCAATTTACAATTTCAACTTAGTTGATAAAACCAAATTACCTTGTTACCCCCACCGAGGCAGCACTACAGTTTCTTTAGAAACTTACTCCCTTTATTCATTTTGTATGAGAGTTTTACTGAACCCACCCCTCACAGTTTAGTGACATTCAGCAGTACTGCCAAATAAGGTGGTGAGCATGTGCGTGTGAAAAGAAAAAGAACAAGAACGTTGTGAGAGCGCGAGTTTATGGAGAGTTTTTCCATAGAATTTAGTGAGAGTTTCGTGAATTAGACTGAAGCGGAATAAACCAGGAAATTGTGTTATTGTGAGTTCTATGGGTTGTTTTATTGTTCGGCTCATTTTTGGTGCTGTGACCAGGATGCGCTGCGGGAATACACAATGCGAACAAGACAGTTTGAGAAGCGAAAGTGACCCTAGTCAGAGTCAAAACAAACATGAGTGACAGCGAAGAACCAAGCGACGAAGAACAACGTCTTATAAAAGAGATCGACGAAGAAATTGATAAAGTCAAGTACTTCATAGAGGAGAGAGAGGAACTGATCGAAATTCAGGATTATTTGGAGATGGAAATAGTCATCAAACAAGCTGTTAAAATCATCGCAAAGTTGTTGGATCTTATTTCACAGACAGAAGAATTAAAAATTGAGCGAGGAATGTCGCCACGAACCGTGAGGCAGTGGAGAAAAGACATTAAATCAAAGTATGCAGCATCTGTCAGCGAAAACAAGGCTTAGAAAGTGTTTGGATGATAGAGATGAAGAAATTACGTGACAAAAAGAAGAATTGAAGCGGGAGCAACGGTTGGAAGATGAGCGGCGATTGTATGTGTTACGTGAAAAACAGCAAGAGCATGAGCGTGAATTGTGGAAGGAAAGCTTGAAGCTAAATTACGAGTGGCAGAAAAGAAACTGGAAGTGGAGAAAACAGCCGTTTCCAGCACCACAAAGTTACCAAAATTAAAGATAACACCTTTTAAGGGTACTGTCGGCGATTGGATAAGATTTGAAAACATGTTCCTGACGCAAGTTGATGCGAAATCAATTTCTGACGAGGAGAAATTCGGGTATCTCCTAGAATCCGTTAGCCCAAAGGTGAGAGACAGAATTGCAAATTTAAAGCCTGGAACTATTGGTTACAAGACAGCGTGGGATTGACTAAAGAAAGATTATGGGAAAACAAAGGTTGTCACGCATGCGCATATGGAGGAAATCATCAATTTATTTCCAGTCAAGGGGTCTAATTATTTCAAGGTGCAAGAATTCTACGAGAAACTGAGTAGGAATTATGACGCACTTCAAACCCTCGAAGAAGGCCAACAGTTACAAGGGTTTGTTATGACCACGCTCAACAAGTTACCTCAGGTAAAGCCAGATCTAGTGAGAGTGGATGAAAGGTGGGAGGACTGGTCCATAGAAGACCTGATTGATGCTCTGCAGAAGTGGCTTAGGAGAAATCATGTCGAAGGCAGCAAATGCGAAAAACATCTGTTCTCACAGAAGCAAGGAGATAAGCCGAAACCCTTTTGCCTTTTCTGCCGAAAACAAGAACACTGGAGTGAGGACTGTACCCTAGTAACAGCATTAGCAGATAGGAAGAGGTTATTCATAGATCACAATCTATGCTTTAATTGTGGAAGGCAAAACCACAGAGCAGACCAGTGCCGTAGGCATGGCTGTGCCAAGTGTAAACACAAACACCACAGAAGCATATGTGATAGACCGGATAGGGAAAGCAGTAATCCAGATGGAGTGTCCTTGACAGCCTACTCCAATTATGCAGAGGAGAAAGTGCTACCTGCGATTATTCCCCTCAGTATTGGGGTACAAGTGCTCTGGGCCAACCTAGATACAGGATCCAGACGCAATTTCATTTCAAGTTACTGAAGTTGAAACCAACACGTCACGAGACTCGTGAAATCTTGACAGTCAATGGAATCAAAGTCCAGACAATGCCAGTCTTTGACACCCATATTACAACCCTGGACAGAAAATCATGCGAAAATGTGGAATTCACTGGATCGAAGTTAGCTGATTTTACCACAGTGAGAGGGCCAGACATGAATTAGCTGAAGTTGAAGTACTCACATACACAAGACAAGCGGTTCTACATGACGTCCACAGGAGAACATCAGATACACCTCATTCTCGGAGACGGGGTTTACAACAGAATAAGGACGGAGAGGGTATTCGAAGGACACCCAGGAGAGCCGCTGGCAGAGGAGACAACCTTCGGTTGGGTGGTCCATAGGGGAGAGGAATATGAGAGTGGAATCAGCTGCATGTACTTGAGAGAGGTTAATGACTATGAGAAACTATACAGTTTAGATGTAATGGGAGTCGAGGACCGGGGAGAGAACAATCAGCTGGATGTTCTGTGTGACTTTAAAGAGGGTGTTGTCAGAAGGCATGATGGAAGGTATGAGGTTGGTTTTCCTTGGATACCAGGAGTTACATTAATGAACACAAATGAAGCAATTAGCAGAAAGCGGCTCAAAAATGTGGAGAGAAAGCTGTCAAGAGATAAGAAACTGAAAGGAGAGTATGGCGGCATTATTGAAGAGCAACTCAGAGCTGGGGTAATCGAGGAAGCACCTAAGATTCTGTCTGGAAATCATGTATTCTACATGCCTCACAAGCCAATTGTAAAGCAGAGTGCAGTTACAACTAAGGTTCGCATGGTGTTTGACGCAAGTGCTAAGCCACAGCCTTTGACTTACAGCATCAATGATTGCATGTTCCCTGGTCCTCCGTTGCAGCCGCTTCTTTGGGACATAATGGTTAGAGTGTGAATGTTCGCAAGTCTGCTCCTTGGAGACATAGAAAAGGCATTTCTTCAGATTGGTGTGAAGGAGGAGGATAGAGATGCAGTCAGATTCTTGTTCAGCATTAAAGGAATAGAGAAACATTTAAGGTTTACACGTGTACCTTTTGGGGTTGAAGCAGGCCCTTTCCTACTAGGAGCAACTCTGCAAGATCACTTTGAACTACAAGGGTCAGAATTTGAAGAGACAGTAAGAGCACATAAGGAGAACACTTATGTTGACAATCTCATGCAAACGGGAGGAAATGTAGAGAGAAACTCGTGCAGTTCAAAGAAGAGAGTACTGCCATACTTGAGTCTGCCAGGTTTCCGGTGCACAAGTGGGAATCCAATGTGAAGGTTCTTGAAAGTGAAGGCATGCCAAATCCAAGCAAGATCCTTGGACATGTATGGAATAAGGATGATGACACACTGGAGCTGCTTGCAAAGCCTCTTCCACAAGAACATCCAGTGACCAAGCGCACTATACTCAGTTACCTGGGAACTATCTATGACCCACTCGGGATAATCTTGCCCACCTTGGCTGAGGGAAAGCATATTTATCGAGAAGCCTGTGATGAGAAGAAAGGCTGGAATGCAGAGGTTTCCCCCAGATTGAAGAACCAATGGTTAAGGTGGATGAAGCAACTTAAAGATGTAAGGGTGCCTAGTGGCATTGCTTTATTTGTCGGAGAGATAGGAGCAGTCCATTTACATCTTTTCGCAGATGCCAGCATCCAAGCATGCTGCGCAGCAGCTGTTGCGGTGGTAGAACATGAGGCAGGCGTGACCAGAGGACTTCTGACCTCAAAGTCGTGGATTTCAAAGAGAAGTACATCGATAGCAAGACTGGAGCTCGTGAGTGGCCACATGGCAGTAAACATGGTGAAGAACCTAAGCACGGCTCTCCAGTGTAAGGTGACCCAAGAAGCAATCCTTCGCACACAAGAGCGCATGATCGATGAGTGGGATGGTTTGTTAGAAAGAAGCACCTACTGGCGTACAATGAGAGTAACAGGATGGGTGTTACGTTTTATCAGAAACTGCAAGGTGAGAAGTAGGTCAAAGAAGATGTCAGGTCCATTAGTTATGGAAGAAATCACAACTGCAAGTGACTACTGGGTGAAGCAAATTCAGAAAGCAGAGGAAACAGGTCTGAAGTCCCCAGGATGGAAGTTGGTCAAAGATGACTGTACTGGAGTTCTCAGGTGTGAGGGCAGAATTAAAGGATATAAGTTGATTTACCTTCCCAGTGGTGTATTTGTGGAGAAGCTCATCCTTCACATCCACAATCAGGTCATGCATCTTGGTGTCGCGAACATGATGGCAAGTGTGAGAGAAAACTGGTGGATACCAAAGTTGAGAGCGAAAGTGAAGAAGGTCATTAAGAACTGCAACATCTGTTAAGTGTACTCTACCAAACCTTATGGAGTGCTAGCAACTAGCACTTTGCCAGAATATAGAACTGAGGGGAGGAGACTGTTTGAAGTAACCGGAGTGGACTTTGGCGGACCCTTCCTGTACAAGGTCAGTAAGAAAGAACAAAGAAAGTGCTACATCATTATTTTCACCTGTGCTAGCTCCAGAGCGGTTCATTTGGAAGTTGCAAGAACCCAAACGGCAGATGAACTCAAAAGTAAGCTGAATGCCTTTACCTCGCGACGAACAAGACCTCGCATCATTATCTCAGATAATGCCAAAACTTTTCAGGCCACAGCAGATTGGATCAAGACGGTGAGGAGAAGTGAGAAGTTGCAGAATTATTTAGTACGTGAGAACATTCGCTGGCAGTTTAATCTTGCAAAGTCACCCTGGTGGGGAGGAATCTATGAGAGATTGATTAAGGAGATAAAGAAGACCTTGCATAAGACTTTGGGGAGGTCACATCTTTCATATGAAGCATTTCAATCAGTCATCATGGACATCGAAAGGAATTTGAATAATCACCCTTTGACATATGTTGAAGCAGGGAGAGAGGAAGAGGCGGTACTTACACCGAACATGATCCTGTGGGGACGAGATGTGTATGCTGTAGAAGACACTGAAGGCTCAGATGCAGAGAAGCTAACAAGGATGGCCAAACGATTGGAAAATGCT